TCTTCTGTTCCTCTAGAATTCTCTCCACCTCTGCTACTCTCTTCTGCTCCTCTAGAACTCTCTCAGCTTTTGCTCCTCTCTTCTGCTCCTCTAGAACTCTCTCAGCTTCTGCTACTCTCTTCTGTTCCTCTAGAACTCTCTCAGCTTCTGCTACTCTCTTCTGTTCCTCTAGAATTCTCTCCACCTCTGCTACTCTCTTCTGTTCCTCTAGAATTCTCTCCACCTCTGCTACTCTCTTCTGTTCCTCTAGAACTCTCTCAGCTTCTGCTACTCTCTTCTGTTCCTCTAGAACTCTCTCCACCTCTGCTACTCTCTTGACTCTTCTGTTCCTCTAGAATACGCTCAGCTTCTGCTACCTTTTCCTGCTCCTCTAGAATACGCTCAGCTTCTGCTACTCTCTTCTGTTCCTTTAGAACTCTCTCCACCTCTGCTACTCTCTTCTGTTCCTGTAGAATACGCTCAGCTTCTGCTACCTTCTCCTGCTCCTCTAGAACTCTCTCAGCTTCTGCTACTCTCTTCTGCTCCTCTAGAACTCTCTCCACCTCTGCTACTCTCTTCTGCTCTTCTAGAATACGCTCACCTTCTGTTACCTTCTTCTGCTCCTCTAGAACTCTCTCGGCTTCTGCTACTCTCTTATGCTCCTCTAGAATTCTCTTTACCTCTGCTACTCTCTTCTGTTCCTCTAGAACTCTCTCAGCTTCTGCTACTCTCGTCTGTTCCTCTAGAATTCTCTCCACCTCTGCTACTCTCTTCTTTTCCACTAGAACTATCTCAGCTTCTGCTAGTCTCTTCTGCTCCTCTAGAACTCTCTCAGCTTCTGCTACTCTCTTCTGTTCCTCTAGAACTCTCTCAGCTTCTGCTACTCTCTTCTGTTCCTCTAGAATACGCTCAGCTTCTGCTACTCTCTTCTGCTCCTCTAGAATACGCTCAGCTTCTGCTACTCTCTTCTGTTCCTCTAGAATTATACGCTCAGCTTCTGCTACCTTCTCCTGCTCCTCCAGAACTCGCTCAGCTTCTGCTACTCTCTTCTGCTCCTCTAGAACTCTCTCAGCTTCTGCTACCTTCTCCTGCTCCTCTAGAACTCTCTCAGCTTCTGCTACTATCGTCTGTTTCTCTAGAATTCTCTCCACCTCTGCTACTCTCTTCTGTTCCTCTAGAATACGCTCAGCTTCTGCTACTCTCTTCTGTTCCTCTAGAACTCTCTCAGCTTCTGCTACTCTCGTCTGTTCCTCTAGAATTCTCTCCACCTCTGCTACTCTCTTCTTTTCCACTAGAACTATCTCAGCTTCTGCTAGTCTCTTCTGCTCCTCTAGAACTCTCTCAGCTTCTGCTACTCTCTTCTGTTCCTCTAGAACTCTCTCAGCTTCTGCTACTCTCTTCTGTTCCTCTAGAATACGCTCAGCTTCTGCTACTCTCTTCTACTCCTCTAGAACTCTCTCAGCTTCTGCTACTCTCTTCTGTTCCTCTAGAATTCTCTCCACCTCTGCTACTCTCTTCTTTTCCACTAGAACTATCTCAGCTTCTGCTAGTCTCTTCTGCTCCTCTAGAACTCTCTCAGCTTCTGCTACTCTCTTCTGTTCCTCTAGAACTCTCTCAGCTTCTGCTACTCTCTTCTGTTCCTCTAGAATACGCTCAGCTTCTGCTACTCTCTTCTGCTCCTCTAGAATACGCTCAGCTTCTGCTACTCTCTTCTGTTCTTCTAGAATACGCTCAGCTTCTGCTACCTTCTCCTGCTCCTCCAGAACTCGCTCAGCTTCTGCTACTCTCTTCTGCTCCTCTAGAACTCTCTCAGCTTCTGCTACATTCTCCTGCTCCTCTAGAACTCTCTCAGCTTCTGCTACTATCGTCTGTTCCTCTAGAATTCTCTCCACCTCTGCTACTCTCTTCTGTTCCTCTAGAATACGCTCAGCTTCTGCTACTCTCTTCTGTTCCTCTAGAACTCTCTCAGCTTCTGCTACTCTCGTCTGTTTCTCTAGAATTCTCTCCACCTCTGCTACTCTCTTCTTTTCCACTAGAACTATCTCAGCTTCTGCTAGTCTCTTCTGCTCCTCTAGAACTCTCTCAGCTTCTGCTACTCTCTTCTGTTCCTCTAGAACTCTCTCAGCTTCTGCTACTCTCTTCTGTTCCTCTAGAATACGCTCAGCTTCTGCTACTCTCTTCTACTCCTCTAGAACTCTCTCAGCTTCTGCTACTCTCTTCTGTTCCTCTAGAACTCTCTCAGCTTCTGCTACTCTCTTCTGTTCCTCTAGAATTGTCTCAGCCTCTGCTACTCTATTCTCATTCTCACCATTTTCGGTGTTCTTTAAGTTGTGAAAAGCGTCTGGCTATTAAGTGTGAAGTGTGTGACGTTGCACTTTGTGTGCTTTGTTTATCCTTAGCCTTATCATCAGTTAGAGTAAAAAGCACAAAACCTGAAAATTTTCGTAAAATTAATATAACCCTAAACGGTGTCAAGACTCAAGATACTAAAATAATAATTACCTATTTTATTGGCGTTTTTGACACCACTTAGGGGTCCAAGTTTTCTGCTCTAAAATCATTATTCCTTGGCCAATTTTTTATTTTTTCATGCTGATTTGGAGGCCATTAAAGCATTTGACCCAGCCAAAAAAGTTCCAGTTGTATATCTTTTACGGTTTTTGCGGAAAGTCGCGTTAAAGTTGATGCCATGGTGTCAGTAAAATGGCACGGATATATATCGTCTCGCTTTATATATAGTTAGATATAGCTGTTCCCACTATCATGATTTGTTTAGTGTACCACTTAAATTTTGTATGTATTGTTTAAATTTTATTCAGCCATTCTGACAAGGGCTTTTAGGTTAATTATCTGACCCTGAGTTTCTGTTTAATTAACTAACGTACCTCCAGAAGTACACTATTCATTAAACCCGTACTTTTAAAAGTACATTATTTATTAAACCCGTACTTTCAAAAGTACATCATTCAAATATGATGTACTTTTAAAAGTACGATGCAATGTTCCAAAAAAGCAAGCTCCAACAATGAACTTTTAAAAGTACGGGTCGAAAAAGCTATAAAAAATATAAATTTTTTCAAAATAATTATTGCACCGTCGGAGTTGGTACCTCAGTGCTTAGGAAACAAAATTTCACCAAAAAATTCGAACGTTTAGAGTTGTTGGTATTATATGGGTTAAGGGGGGGGGGGGGGGGGGGGGGGGGGTTCACCCTGATTTTTTGTGAAACTTGGTTTCGAGATAGCAGTTGACCAACAAACTAAAACCGGTGACCGAACTTTTGAGGGGGTCCCGGACCCCAACCGCCAAACGGTGCCCGCGGGGCAGCCACGCCCATATTTGGTCCAAATTAGGCCCAATTTAGCCAAATACCCTCAACATGCCCAAAACCCAGATTTTAGGTGCTTTACTTGTAGCTAGTGGTCCCCTGAACTCGTATACGAATTTTCATTAAGATTGGACAAAAAATGACTGAGTTATGAGCCAAAAACCATATGCCCATATTTGGGTATACGCACCAAATTTGGTCGATTTTGGCCCATCAATTGGTCAAATATCAATATTTTTGAATGAAACCAACTTTATATGGAAGGTAAGCCTATACTACACATTCTCTATGATTATCAGCTCAGTATCTACCTAACTGTGGATTCTGTGTTCAATTAATCGCAAAAAATGAACAAAATCGCCCATATCTCAGTTCGCGATATTTGCGAAACTGAATTCGTTCAAAACAATAGAACTCAATAGGGTTTCAATATTTTTACATGAAATTTTCAGAAACAACGTAGAATCGCATTTCGACCTTAAGTTTTAATATGGAATTTTGAGTTAGGCCTTTAAAAAAATTGGCGGCCAAATTCTAAAATTTGCCGGGCATTTTTCAGAATTTGGCCGCCAAATTTTTTTAAAGGCCTAACTCAAAATTCCATATTAAAACTTAAGGTCGAAATGCAATTCTACGTTGATTCTGAAAATTTCATGTAAAAATATTGAAACCCTATTGAGTTCTATTGTTTTGAACGAATTCAGTTTCGCAAATATCGCGAACTGAGATATGGGCGATTTTGTTCATTTTTTGCGATTAATTGAACACAGAATCCACAGTTAGGTAGATACTGAGCTGATAATCATAGAGAATGTGTAGTATAGGCTTACCTTCCATATAAAGTTGGTTTCATTCAAAAATATTGATATTTGACCAATTGATAGGCCAAAATCGACCAAATTTGGTGGGTATACCCAAATATGGGCATATGGTTTTTGGCTCATAACTCAGTCATTTGTTGTCCAATCTTAATGAAAATTCATATACGAGTTCAGGGGACCACTAGCTACAAGTAGAGCACCTAAAATCTGGATTTTGGGCATGTTCAGGGTATTTGGCTAAATTGGGCCTAATTTGGACCGAATATGGGCGTGGCTGCCCCGCGGGCACCGTTTGGCGGTTGGGGTCTGGGACCCTCTCAAAAGTTTGGTCACCGGTCCTAGTTTGTTGGTCAACTGCTATCTCGAAACCAAGTTTCACAAAAAAATCAGCCCGGCAAATTTCAGAATTTGGCCGCCAAATTTTTTTAAAGGCCTAACTCAAAATTCCATATTAAAACTTAAGGTCGAAACGCTTCTACGTTGATTCTGAAAATTTCATGTAAAAATATTGAAACCCTATTGAGTTCTATTGTTTTGAACGAAATCAGTTTCGCAAATATCGCGAACTGAGATATTATATGGGCGATTTTGTTCATTTTTTACGATTAATTGAACACAGAATCCACAGTTAGGTAGATACTGAGCTGATAATCATATAGAATGTGTAGTATAGGCGTACCTTTCATATAAAGTTGGTTTCATTCAAAAATATTGATATTTGACCAATTTATGGGCCAAAATCGACTAAATTTGGTACGAAATAATAGTATTATTGTCCAAGATATGTATTTACTGGGCAGCACTCAGCCTGTCATTCCGCCGCAGCTTAATTTATAGCCCAAGTAACTCTGTACACTGTTTGTAATTGTATGACTACTTTATAATTTCTTCGATTTCAATTTCTTTCATCAGACTAAATCATATCAACATTTTGACTGCTTAACAAATATTTTTCGTGCTTGCTGTATTAACAAATTTATTAAAACATTATCGTTCAAATTGGATTAAAAGCGCCCAAAAATATGACAAAAATCTTTAATTTTCAATGGTTTTGAATTTGAATTCCTTCGAGCGGATAAGTTAAAATAAATCAACTAGCTTTCTAAAAATCTGAAAATGCAAACTTAATGGTTTTGTACACTGTATAGTAAAAACAAATTCGTAAAAACAAATTCCCTATAAGCGGAATACACTATATGTAAAGAAGAAGTAAAAACTACAAAACTACACGTGTCTAAGCAGTACACTCTAATATTTGAGCACGTAAAGCATTCCATTAGAATTGGAGGCGAGCAGTAGACGCAGACCAGTCTGAGAAACTGCTAAACACTTCATATCCTGTGATCTGTGGTTGAAGAACGCATAAACACACTCACCTGCGGGTAATATAGTAATAGTATAACTACATTATAGTAATTACCATATATAATATAGTAATAGTATAACTATGTATAACTATATTATAGTAATTACCATATATAACATAGTAATAGTATAACTAAATTATAGTAATTACCATATGTAATATAGAAATAGTATAATTATATCTTACTATATATAAAGCGAGACGATATATATATATATATTTATTTATCCGTGCCATTTTACTGACACCAGGGCATCAACTTTAACGCGACTTTCCGCAAAAATCGTAAAAGATATAAAACTGAAACTTTTTTGACTGGGTCAAATGCTTTAATGGCCTTCAAATCAGCATGAAAAAATTAAAAATCGGCGAATTAAATAGGTAATAATTATTTTATTCTCTCGAGTCTTGACACCACTTTAGGGTAGACGGGTTCCTGCTAGTTATAGTAATTGCCATATATAATAATATAGTAATAGTATAATTACATTATAGTAATTACCATATTATATAATATAGTAATAGTATAACTAAATTATAGTAATTACTATATATAATATAGTAATAGTATAACTACATTATAGTAATTACCATATATAGTATAGTAATAGTATAACTAAATTATAGTAATGACCATAAACAGGATTAAACAGGATTAAACATAAATTTGTCAATGAGAGCCCTAACACTCACGTCTTGACTATACATCAATATAATAGAAATAAATAAATAAATAATGTGCAAGAGTTTTCTTAAAATAAAAATTTAAAAATCATAAAAATTTAACTTCGTCACATCTTTTGTTGAAAGAGAAACAAGTGCAAATAAAATAATTTAATTCCCATGAACATGTTCCAAAATGATATGATATGGTGATCGTGATATGAAATGAAATGAAGCTCGACTTGACCGTCACGTGTCCGCAGAGGAGTTCTGTTGAGGTGTAGCGGGGACTTTACAGCTGGACTTCAGCAGATCCTTCTTAGTGACTTCCTTCTTCGGGAAACGCCTGTTGTTTGCTCTCACCAAGAACCTCGCTGTCTCTCTTATGAGGCTGGCATCTGTGAATAGCCCCTCTAAGTTAGCGAAAAGACAGGTTTTGGCTCTCTGACTAAAGCGGTGTCGGTAGTCTTCATACAGGGAGCAGGTCCGGAGGACGTGTACCTCATCTTCGATGATGGGGTCGAAGAATGGCATTTCTGCGAAATTTTCGAGCATGTCCATGTCCTCTGTTGAGCAAGCTTTACATATCCGAGGTACGATCTGGTTTCTTTTGTGGGTTCCATGACGTCCTGTCTCAATATTGAAATTGTGTGAGCTTGATCTGAATTGAGCCAGCTTTTGGATTCAGCGTGCGACAGATTCATATTGAGGTACTGCTCATAGCCAAAACTCATCTTTATGGTGTTGTAGAACGTTAGTTTCTTGTTGTTCCATCTCTCAGTGTTCCATATCTGCCTGAAGTTGGAACGCATCGCTTCTTTGGTTTGTGAAGGTGAGAGTTTTAGATGATGTCCATTGGGTTGGTTTAGAACCGACCGTGCAGTCTCGATGTTGGTATTCCAAGAAAGACTGAGGCTGCGTTGCTCTTTGAAGGCATGTCGCACAAGACTGTTAGATCCAGCTTTCTCCATTTTATCTAATCTTTCCCAGTAGTTATACACTTGGGATGATAGCTCTATCGCCAAAGGGTAGCGTCCTGTGTCATTCCTAGGTACGTGTACTCACGAACTGAGTCGATCGGTGTTAAACCAAAAGCCAAGATCTTGCTGTCTTTGAGTATACGACCAGCGCGGTTGAACACCATGATAGCGGTTTTAGACATGTTGACCACTAGGCCCCACTCCTGACAGTAGGGCGGTACAGAACAGAGGCGCATTATTATGTAGGCTTCAGGAATCCAAGCCAGAAGTACTTAAGTCCATCAGCCCAGAGCAAGATGTGTCACCTGATGGAGTTAAATGATGGGCACTTCGATGATATCTAGCTCGTTCAGTCTTTCGGGAGGGGCATGTACGAAGAATTTGAACAGTTCCGGGGACACTGGGGTGCCCTTGTTCAGTTCCACAGAGGACGTACATCTTCCAAGAGGCTTGTGGGAGAGGTTTTAGTTTTTGCAGATGAATGGGTGTACATGTGTTCCATACAATTGAAAAATCGCCCCTTGAACTCCTAGTTTTCCAATGTTTGTAGAGTAGCGCTTCCCTACAAACAGTGTCAAAAGCCTTTGCATAGTCTACAAAGCCAAGAAAACCTTCTTTTATTTAACTATTTTTAATCTTTTAACAATTTTCCTTTTACCCCTTAAAAACCCCCCAAAAATTTTTATCACACTAATAAATTCATTATCTTACAAAATTCCCCAAACCCCAAAAACTACTTACCCTATTTTTAAAAAAACCCCTTTTTATTAAATCCAAATTTCCCACTTAACACAAATACAAATTTTAAATCAAACACACAATTTCCCATAAAACTCATTAAAAACATAAATCTTCACACCCTTTATTTTTTTTTAAAAACCCCTATTTTTAAAAACATTTTAAAAATATCATTCAAATTTCCAACTTTTCTTTCCCCACCCCTTTTACCCTTTTTTTTTACCCAAACAAAAATTTTTTTAAATTTAAAAATTAACATATCAAAAAACTCCCATACTTTTTACACATCTTTTAATCCCCCCAAATTTTTTCCCCCAAATCCCTTCTTAAATAACAACCCTTTACTTAATTTTTTAAAACCCTACATCAATTCCTAATTATTTATTTTTTCCCAATTTTTTACTACCTTTAATCCCCTTTAAAATCCAAAAAAAAAATTTTTTTAAACCCCCTTTTTATCTTTTTATTTCCCTTTTCTTTTTCAAAATTTTAAACCCCCCTATTCCTTAAAAAACAATTACTATTAATTTATATCTTTTTTTTTTCCCAAAACTTAAACCTTTACCTTTAAAAATTTTTCACCAAATTAAATATCCCTTCTTTCTTTTCCCCATTTTATTTTCCTCTCAAATCAAAATCTACTACAAATTTTATTATACACTTAAAACACAAATTATTTTATCAATGCTTTTTCACCAAAATTTTTAAAAAATACCGCTTCTTTGGGGTCAAACTCCTTATCAATACCCCCCCATTTATTAAAATTAACTTCCAAAATTTCCCCCAAAATACACCCATTAAATTTTTATTTTTTACACCCCAGGAAGTCCATAAAAATTTCCCCTTTTGACTTTTTGGCCTTCGGGCTCTTTTCATGTTCCAAAACTTCGTTAAGTCTTAGATTAATCACTAGCTTCTACAACGTAGGGTTCCCTTACCATTCTTCCCCCAACCCGGATTCCCCCATATTTGGATTTGCTCAAACCCCATGATTTCTCTAATTCTTTTTGGGGGTTGGCCCACTCCCTTTGGCTTTATTTTGGTTTTGTATGAAACGTTTCCGGAATTCTAACATTAAAAATTTGAATTTCATCTCTTCAAAAAAGTCCCCTTTTTTAAAATTCGGGGAAACCTTAAAATTTAACCTTTTCCTTTTCCTGAGATGGCGGTGAATCCGATACGACCCCGAGCGAGAGTTTTTCTAGGCTATTAAAGCAATAGTTAGGTAAAAAATTTCGCTTTTTTTCGGGAAAAAATATTGACTCTGCACCCGCCGTCTACAAAACCCTTTTCCCTCCGTTTTTGGTCCCCCTTACTTGTCATAAAACGTGGACATTCCATGATATATTGGGAGTCTTGTAGACGGCCGTGTCTCTAAATGGAGATGCTTTTTAAAATTTTTGGGTTTTTTTTTTATTTGTGCGTCGAGATAGGTTAATTTTATTTTCGCGGTCTCGGTTAAACCAAAGGGGATTTTGTAGCGCATTTTTGAGGGGAGCCCAAGTTTTTTGCTCCTTGGGACGGAAGATGGTCCACCGGGGCTTCATTCCCTTTAGTTAGTATCCCCTAACTGTCTTTGCTTGAGGTAAAAAATGGGGGCGGACTTTACCTTGCCCTTTTCTCAAGTTCGAAAGAAGGTTGATAGACGATCATTGACGATTTGGGTGTCTCTTTAATTGGGAAACCCGGGGCAGGAAAATAAGGGTTTAAAAAAGATTTTTGCTCTGTTGTTCCAGGAGTTTGTAATGCTTGTTTGTTTTTTAGAAGCAGATCTTCGGCACTGGCTCTGCCAAAGTTCCGGTGTCCTACATTAGGAGCATCTCAGGTTTAAGTTCGCATTTGGGGGTTAGAAAAAACCCCCTTTGTAAGGATGTCGTCAACTGAGAACGCTCTGTACTTGTTTATGTCAAACTGTCCACTGAATCTGTCGCTATCGAAATCATCGAAGAGGTCGTCGTATACAATTAGGCACTTCCTCTTGTGGGGTGCTTGGTAGCACCTGACCGCCGGGGCTGAAGAACATTGGTATTCACGCGCACGGGGTGATTGGTATTCAGTTTTACTTTAAGAGGTGCTTTGTCGGTGACTTTAGCTTTGTTTTCGATCATAACACTGACCTCTGTCGGAGTGGGTGAGCTAGAAAGGTCTTTGAGTATTTCATTCATCTCAGGGTTTAGATTACCTTTTATGGGTATTGTGAGAGTGTCAGGGGATGGTGTTTTTAACACCGGTATCGCTTGAGGAGGTACTTCAATCACGTCATCACATTCCCACCACATCAGTTGTCTCACATATCTCTATTTCTTCTTCGCTAAAATAGTATTGCTTGGCGGTGGCAAAACAGTTGCCTCCTCCTTTTCTTCCTCAACCACGTGAACATTCGACTTTTTATCTCTAGCTTTTGAGTACCTATGATCAAGGTTGATGGTAGATCTTTGGATGTTTGCTAACCAGCAATTTTTCCTTTGGTACTCTGATTGATTCCACATGATTGCAAGTAGGCAGAATATTTGTGAAAAGTGCGCATTACAGTTTCCACAGCTGTGTGTAGGTACCATATATAATCACAATGCTGGCAAGCATTACCGTTGCCGTTATATTCACAATACTATTTACCCCCTATACTATTATATCCCCTTTATTGTTTTCCAGGCATTAAGACTCATCGAAAGTTGTTCAGCAGGTATATTTAAGTAAAAAACATTCTAATTCAATGTTAAAGATGACAGGAATAAGAAAGAAATAGTTATGTGGAGGTTTTTAAGAAATTTGCGCAAAATACGAGCCAGCATGTTACACGGAAATTAGTAAGTACAAACCCACAAAATCGCCATATTCAGGTGCCTTAAAAACCATGTTAAAATTGAGTAAGAGATCTGAAACTTTGCGGGCGTCTACGACCTTGTCCAAATCGACTGTAAACAAAATTTCATGTTTCAGCAGTATCGGCAAGTGGTTTTCTGGAACCCCTGTTTTTACAACAGATTGTCGTGAAGTATATATATGTATATAATTATCCATAGACACAGTGTTTCGTCCTATTAGGACTCATCAGTATGGCTCAAATCATCAAGGTTTGGTTTTGCCGATGGCGGGTATCGATTCCAGCAACCTTGCGATTACTGGCTCTACGCCGCGCCACTGGGCCACCAAGGCCTTAATAATGAAGGAATTACATAGGTACCAGAGTGCTCTAACAAACTCATTACAAGTTAGGAGCTTTGCATTAACGCTGAACGGTAGATCTATTCATTTCCTAGAGTGCTCAAGCTTAGTAAACTAGGCGAGCATATTTATCCATAGACACAGTGTTTCGTCCTATTAGGACTCATCAGTATGGCAAATCATCAAGGTTGTTTTGCCGATGGCGGGTATCGATCAGCAACCTTTGCGATTACTGGCTCTACGCCGCGCCATGGGCACCAAGGCCTTAATAATGAAGGAATTACATAGGTACCAGAGTGCTCTACAAACCTCATTACAAGTTAGGAGCTTTGCATTTAAGCTGAACGGTAGATCTATTCATTTCCTAGAGTGCTCAAGCTTAGTAAACTAGGCGAGCATATTTATCCATAGACACAGTGTTTCGTCCTATTAGGGACTCATCAGTATGGCTCAAATCATCAAGGTGGTTTTGCCGATGGCGGGTATCGATCCAGCAACCTTGCGATTACTGGCTCTTACGCCGCGCCACTGGGCCACCAAGGCCTTAATAATGAAGGAATTACATAGGTACCTAGAGTGCTCTACAAACTCATTACAAGTTAGGAGCCTTTGCTTTAAGCTGAACGGTAGATCATTCATTTCCTAGAGTGCTCAAGCTTAGTAAACTAGGCGAGCATATTTATCCATAGACACAGGTTTCGTCCTATTAGGACTCATCAGTATGGCTCAAATCATCAAGGTTGTTTGCCCGATGGCGGGTATCGATCCAGCAACCTTGCGATTACTGGCTCTACGCCGCGCCACTGGGCCACCAAGGCCTTAATAATGAAGGAATTACATAGGTACCAGAGTGCTCTACAAACTCATTACAAGTTAGGAGCTTTGCATTTAAGTCTGAACGGTAGATCTATTCAGTTCCTAGAGTGCTCAAGCTTAGTAAACTAGGCGAGCATATTTAACCATAGACACAGTGTTTCGTCCTATTAGGACTCATCAGATGGCTCAAATCATCAAGGTTGGTTTTGCCCGATGGCGGGTATCGATCCAGCACCTTGGCGATTACTGGCTCTACGCCGCGCCCACTGGGCCACCAAGGCCTTAATAATGAAGGAATTACATAGGTACCAGAGTGCTCTACAAACTCATTACAAGTTAGGAGCTTTGCATTTAAGCTGAACGTAGATCTATTCATTTCCTAGAGTCTCAAGCTTAGTAAACTAGGCGAGCATATTTATCCATAGACACAGTGTTTCGTCCTATTAGGACTCATCAGTATGGCTCAAATCATCAAGGGTTGGTTTTGCCGATGGCGGTATCGATCCAGCAACCTTGCGATTACTGGCTCTACGCCGCGCCACTGGGCCACCAAGGCCTTAATAATGAGGAATTACATAGGTACCAGAGTGCTCTACAAAACTCATTACCAAGTTAGGAAGCTTTGCATTTAAGCTGAACGGTAGATCTATTCATTTCCTAGAGTGCTCAAGCTAGTAAACTAGGCGAGCATATTTATCCATAGACACAGTGTTTCGTCCTATTAGGACTCATCAGTATGGCTCAAATCTTCAAGGTTGGTTTTGCCGATGGCGGGTATCGATCCAGCAACCTTGCGATTACTGGCTCTACGCCGCGCCACTGGGCCACCAAGGCCTTATATAATAATGTATGTATAGACGCTTTTGGCAGTCAATTGTAGCCTACATTTAGGTGGTCCGTAGATCCAAAAGTATATACGATACAGTCATCTCGAAACCACAGGTTTTAAAGATAATCGTTTAAGCTTTAGTTTACATTGTATTGAAAAATAATTTAACGTCATCATCATCACTTGATGACGTCATCAATTAAGTGTTTTAAAACTTAATTTTTGACAAAGTAACAACTTTTCAAATCGATTTTACACCATTAAGGAGTAATTTTATTTAAAATCTGAGGACATTTTTACCTAAGATAATTGTTTAAGAATTCCGAAAATCTAGCGGAAAAGTTTCCTACCTTGCTCCTTCATAAAGATATTTGCTATTGAAGTTAGTGCTTTTTTGAAGAATAATTTTATAAAAACACAAAGTTGTGAATAGTATTCTCTGGTGTAGGGCCATTCCTTGGGGTTTTGGAGCTCAAATTTGCTTTTTTAAAGGTCTAAATTGTGTTATAGGCTAGTTTTAAAGTTGAAAATCGAAAAAGTTGCACACGTGGGGACACGCCCAAATTGATTTAAAATAGCTAAAATCACTAAAAATTTTATTTTCACGATTTTTAATCAACTTTGGAGGTCCCGTTGTGATCCAAGTTCTTTTGAAATCTTCTGAAACTTTGCATGCTTATCAAACTATATATTAAATACCACTATGCAAAAATTTACCGGTGATTCAATATTGTATGCGCACGCAACGTCCGCTCAAAGTTTGCACGTGCGAAAGGTGAGGAATTTTGCCATCTTCGTGATTTCGAATATATTCTGCTTTCCACGATATTTAAATGCATTATATAATGAATTTAATGCCAACCTAAATGAGTAAAAGTGCCATATTCAGTCGGTTATCGACCAGATATACCTACCTAACACAAGGAAAAAGTTTTCAAAGGCAGAATATCGAAATCGTTGAAATTATCTCCTTATTTATAATTATGTAATGAAGTTTCGACGGTGTAAATTATCCTGACATTATAATCAAAAAGAATGATATTTGACCAAAACCATAATCATGGGTAGAGTGTACCGCTGCCAGTGTCTCTCTTTTCCAAACAAAAGAAATGATATTAATTTGAGGAACCGTCCCGCTAATGCAAAATGATACCGAGAATGAATTGGGTCGCTCGCTTTTCCCATTTAATAAGCTTCATTACAATTCGTAGCCGTGAACGAATGGGAAAAGCGAGCGACCGATTTCATTCTCGGTATCATTTTGCATTAGCGGACCGGTTCCTCAAATTAATATCATTTCCTTTTGTTTGGAAAAGAGAGACACTGGCAGCGGTACACTCTACCCATGATTATGGGTTTGGTCAAATATAGTAATAGTATAACTACATTATAGTAATTACCCTATATAATATAGTAATAGTATAACTGTATTATAGTAATTACCATATATAGTATAGTATAGTATAGCTGGTTTGGATACAAAAGGCCTCAGGGGGTCCAATAAACTATAGGGGCGCATAAAAAAGACCTGACCTTTTTTGAGAAATAGGTAAGTGTTTTAGGGGCGCCAAAAATTCAGGGGGTTTTGGGGTTCCAAAGGTTTCTGGGGGTTCCAAGGGTTTTTGGGGTTCAGGGGCCGGGGGCAATGGTAACGTTCCATCCCACTCCTCGACCACTTACCTGTCTTCATATCAAACAATCTGACAGTTCCGTCTTTACTCCCCGTAACCAGGTGGTCCTCTTGAAAAGTACCAGTCTCTACTTGTGCCTGGTGGCCGAAGAAGCTGGTGACTGTATCCCCTACCCGTCTTCAGAGTACAAGTACACTCCACTTCCATCTGATTAGGAGGAGGAATAGTGTTTATAAGGAGGAGGGATAGTGTTTATAAGGATGAGGAATAGTGTTTATAAGGAGGAGGAAAAATGTTTATAAGGTTGAGGGATAGTGTTTATAAGGAGGAGGGATAGTGTTTATGAGGAGGAGGGATAGTGTTTATAAGGAGGAGGGATAGTGTTTATAAGGATGAGGAATAATGTTTGTAAGGAGGAGGTATAGTGTTTATAAGGAGGAGGGATAATGTTTATAAGGAGGAAGGATAGTGTTTATAAGAAGGGGATAGTGTTTATAAGGAGGAGGGATAGTGTTTATAAGGAGGAGGGATAGTGTTTATAAGGAGGAGGAATAGTGTTTATAAGGAGGAGGGATAGTGTTTATAAGGATGAGGAATAGTGTTTATAAGGAGGAGGGATAGTGTTTATAAGGTTGAGGGATACTGTTTATAAGGAGGATGGATAATGTTTACAAGGAGGAGGGATAGTGTTTATAAGGAGGAGATATAGTGTTTATAAGGGGAGGGATAGTGTTTATAAGGAGGAGGGATAGTGTTTATGAGGAGGAGGGATAGTGTTTATAAGGAGGAAGGATAGTGTTTATAAGGATGAGGAATAAATGTTTATAAGAGGAGGTATAGTGTTTATAAGGAGAGGGATAATGTTTATAAGGAGGAGGGATAGTGTTTATAAGAAGGGGATAATGTTTACAAGGAGGAGGGATAATGTTTATAAGAAGGAGGAATAGTGTTTATAAGGAGGAGGGATAGTGTTTATAAGGAGGAGGGATAGTGTTGATAAGGAGGAGGGATAGTGTTTATAAGGAGGAGATATAGTGTTTATAAGGGGGAGGGATAGTGTTTATAAGGAGGAGATATAGTGTTGATAAGAAGGGGATAGTGTTTATAAAGATAGGATTTCTAAAAGATAGATAAGAGAGGTTGTCTAGATACTTACTCTCTACAACGAACTGATAAGAGTTGGGTAGGAATGCAGTAAAGAAGCACCCACTATCTACAGATATCCTCGTTTCCCCCGTATCTAGGTCCAGTATCATTGCACCTGAGTGTCCTCCTACAATTCCAAGTTTGCTGTCGTGAGATACTCCGCACGAAAACATACGCGCCCCGTAACCACTGAAATAAATTATTTAGGAGACCTCAAAACATTGTAACCAACAAATCAGATAATGTGAGATTAGGAGACACATCATATCAGATGTTATCAACTCAACAAAGTCTGATATCCAGCTCTATCTTTGTTACTCTGTATCTAGGAGACCTCAAAACCAGAAAACTCGTCTTCATTCAGTACAATAATACAATGCTGGGCTGCCTGTACGGAGTCTTCAACGGCCAGGTAACGCAGTTGGTTAGAGCACCAGCTTTGCAATCGTAAGGTTGCGAGTTCGAAACCCGCTGTCTACCTAGTCGTGAGGTGAGCGTCGTCGACGTTCTGCTAAGGATCCCATAGGATCTATGCAGCCTCCGGTTCACCCCAGCCGAATGCTCGAGAAATCGTGTGTGAGGTTAAAATGGGGAGCTGTGCAATTATAGTACAGGGTAAAAGCAAAAACTCAATGGATGGTTACCGTAATGGGTGCCACATGCCTAGCATGAAATATTTACTTACTTACTTGCACTTGTGTAGGTCTGTAGAAGCATTAGAATCGGGCGTTGCCTGCTACAGGCTATCCCGAATTTAGAAGCTTAAGCTTTAATAACAAAATTTCATTCTATAATTCTAATTAATTTCAGTTGTAGGTCTAACATTAAGGGTTAAACTTTATTTTGTAAAATTGTTGTGTTTTATCGACTTGAATAAAGTAAGTTATTGAAGAGTTGTATGTTTTGGACAGGATATTGCCTGCCAAACAAAAAGGTGGCTGCATTTCTTCATGTTTACTCGACCACTGCATTGAGTTATTAGATCATGAACTATTTGTTCCTTTCAGCTAAATCTTAATATAATTAACTATTATATTTAGAAGATGTCACTGTGGAAGTTGTTTGAAGGTGCCAACTGCCAGGTCCTTGAGGTCCTGTGGAGGGGTGAACACAGTCTCAGAAGATACAAGAGAATAAGAGATAACAGAGATAAGGAACTGGGTTTTATGACACTAGATGAACCACTGGAATGTGACCGGACTGAAGAATGGGAGGAACACACCACAGCTTATCACAGTGTAGGTTAATGTAGATTACTTATGTCAGCAAGCTAGCATTTAAAGAGCTGTCTACTACCATGTTATTTCTCTCGCTCCTCATGATCTCTCAGCTGCGTCAGCCTCCTCTTTTCTCCTCTCATCTCTTCGTCATCGTTCACGGTCCTTTCATACTCCCCGTCTCTCCATTGTCACATGGTTGACAATACCCAACCATAGAAGTTGCTGTGTATTACGGAGACTGGGCAGCTGTTCGCAATGAGATTATGTTTTCTATCAATTCCACGTACAACTCTTTTGATGTGGAACTGCAACTACCAAAATGACCATACATATATATATATATATATACTTCATGCTATAAAAAACTGATAATTAGTTCCTTCAGGCGATGACTTAACATGTTGAGTAATATAACACCGCAGCTTGATTTAATGAAATGTCACGTTACTCGTCACGTTACCTAACCTGCTATCCAGAGCACTCCCTGGCGGGTCATGTGAAGCGCACGTGACTCATAGTAATATCATGTTCGTACACGAATAATATTAATCTACACTCAAAGAGAGACTCGTGAATCGTGTTCCGTTCAGTTCGCTCTGACCCATTTCTTTTTCTTGAGACCTAGTAAGCTTGCACTAAAACTCAGGCCTGATTTGTTAACGTGTTTTAATTGACGAGTGTTTGTCAGCAAAACATTTACAGCTTCTTGGCAGGTACGTGGAAGATTTATAGTAAAGAGGTTTTACCAAGTTATAAAACTCATTTACATTTTGGCATAGTTTTATTAATCAACTTACATATTATAATTAATACCAAAGCGGATTTTAAGCTATGTAATTAAATCATAACAATAAAACGAAGGTTCATCATAACTTGAGAGATACATATTTCAATTTTTGAGTACAGTTCATGGTTATTGAATGCAAATGTTTTCAGTGATTGAATTGTCCGAAACTTTAACAGACGATCTGAGAGGAAAACTATTTCCAAATTCCTAACTGTAACCAGAACTTATCTTGTGAAGAGCCAAGGATATCAGGTTTGTGAATGTTTTTATAGTGTTCAGGACAACTAACTTTCTTTCATATTGGCTCTTGATTGGGTAATTAATTAGTTGATATTTTTTGAGGAAGTTCAGTTTGTGTCATTTTAGAATACGGCAGCCCAGCCGCTCCCACTAAATCGCTCGCCCAACGGCACAAAACGTTTTGGTCACGTGACAGGCTAGTAAAACACGAATTCAATTGTTTAGGGCTCGGGTTAGGGTTGTGGTTAGGGTTATGGATAGCTTCGGGCCGGGTTATGGTTAGGGTTAGGATGAAGGTTTATATAAAACCGTTTTGTTCGGATGCAAAACCATACAACCATGAAAGTCACGTGATAATTTTTGGGCGAGCGAATTATAAAGAGCACAGCCAGCACGCCGTTTTTTAAAGCGATGCCGATAAGATTAAAAAACTCACGTGGAGTTTATCAGATTTCAGTGAACAGAAGTACGGTACCGTAGAGGATCATAAGGACTTATTCAAGAAACTACTTCCTAACTTAAGTCAATCTTGTGAAGACTGACATATCCTACCCTAGATTATCAGGTTTGTGAACATTATAGTGTTCATACAACTTAATCCTCCTTCGTGAATCATTATTACATATTAATTAGCAATCTCAATAATAATCTCAGAATGTGTGTCTGTCTGTGTGTTTGTCTGTCTGCGTGTAATTTCCGAGTGGCTTAATTAAGAAAACGGTAAGAGTCATGGGACTGGTTTTTTCGGTATATTTTAGAAAAAACTCTGACCAAGCCAATTATAAGCAACATTTTTAAATAAGCCGTTGGTAAGTGGTTTAATTGATGGTTTTGTACCACAAATGTGACATAAAATGACTCACTTTTTCTCCCTCCTCGCTCTCTCCCATTACTGCATAGGCAGCATGGCCAGCATTGGTACATAAATAATAATTAGGTTAGCCGCAATATTTACTGTTGTGTAATACTATAAGCTTATTAGGGGGAGAGGGGGTGGAGGGAGCACTTATTGCGGTCTTTTTGGACTGTAGAGAGAGTTCATACTTTCATACGACAATGTTATACATGTGTTTTCGAATATAATAGACGGCCGCGGGTTTATACCTTTGCATTTCAACTGCGATAATGAGGTCCCGGCCGTAGGGTTACACGACTCAATTACGGTACAGCTAATTTTATACTATTATAACTTTTAAACTACTAAGTATAAGAAAATAACATGGAGAATTTCAGGATTCAGTACACAGTAAGAGAGGATCAAACCAACTCAGACAATTTTAACAATCTCTCAACATCAGGTACCAAATTAAAATGCTTCACTAAATCCGGCCTGATTTGTTTTTTTTTTTTTTTTTTTTGTTTTTTTTTTTTTCTTTTTGTTTTTTTTTTTTTAATTTTTATTTTTTTTTTAATTTTTTTTGGCCTGATTTGTTGACCTGTTTAAATTGACGCATGTTTGTCGGCGAAACATTTAAAACTTATTGGTACACGGAAAATTTATAATTTAAAGGTTTTGCCAAGTAAGGATAGTGATGCCTAAGTAAGAACGACAAATTTAGTCGACCATAAATGTAGTCAAAATTTTGACTAAAATTGTTGTAAACCAAATAACATATATCTATTGTGATTTCAGTTACTGAATTTTACGAAAATTTAAAAACGGTTCTGAGAGGAATACTATTTCCTAAATCCTAACTGCAATCTATCTTGTGGAGACTGATCTTACCTACTCCAGGTTTTTAGCTATATGAATGTTTGGCTGTATTCAGACAACTCAATCTTCTTTCTATACGGGTTCTTTATTAGTTAAATAATTGGTTGATTCATTTGAGGGACATTTTAGTTAGTGTCATTTTAGAATACGGCAGCCAGCACGTCATTTTAAAGCGATAAGATTAAGAGACTCTCGTGGAGTATATCAGATTTCAGTGGACAGAAGTAAAGGATCAAAACAACTTGTTCAAGCAACTACTTTCTACCTGTAGTCAATCTTGTGAAGACTCTGCCCTAGGCCTATTTTATCAAGTTTGTAAATGTTTTAGTGTTCAGACTACTCAATCTTCCTTCTGCGAATCATTATTGATTATTGAAATAGATAAAAACAATAAAATTTGATGCATAACACTTTTTTTGTTGAGAGAACGCACTTTCGAAAAAAAAGTCTTTTTGGAGATTTTTAAAAATTTCATAATATTAAGTCAAATCCCGAATCCTGGCAAAAAAGTTTTGGTGTACGTCCCCTTATAAAGTATAAGAAAATAACTTGGAGAATTTCAGGATTCAGTACACAGAAAGAGAGGATCAAACCAACTCAAACAATCTTAACAGTCTCTCAACACCAGGTACCAAATAAAAATACTTCTTTATGTAATTTTTATAAGGGGCATACACCAAACGTTTACTGACCATCTAGCGCACTGTTTCCCACAACTAATATTTTTTGAGGATTCCCATTTTTGTAATCGAGCATTTCCTGGTCAAAGTGCATCATATAAGTACCTAATCCCGCGTAATCACGTAATGATCGATAAGCTCTTGATTCTTGATATGTCATTCATCTCAGTAGCAAGAGCTCCCATTTTTTTCAGGACAAGTGTCCTGAAGTTTATTAAACTTATTACATTACAATTCGACTCGATCCAATTATTCAAAATTGAACGTTAATAAGGAAAAATGAACATTGTTGTTATTTGATTTGATGTATTCCTCGAATGAGTGATAATAGCAAGTCATACCAGAGAGAATCTTATTAATTAAATATTGCTCATAGTATGTAATTATTCGAGCACACCTGGCTTTTTTACATAACTTAACTACTGCTTTATAGGACAAGAAGGAAACACGCCACTAAAACCAACCTCGGACCCACTATTTTATTTCAAGGTAATAAACGACCACTTTAAATAAATGGTAAGTCATTTTGGAAGTTGACTGAAATTCAATAATTAGGTACTACGAGAGCTGTGTGATATAGTATAAATATATTAAGTATTAATCCTTGATTCTTTCATTTTTTAAAACCGCATCACTCCTAAATATTACACCTGTTTTCATTTCAGATATATCAACTGATCAGCAATGGATAAATATTTGGAAAATGGGAAACAAATTTACGAAGAATACTGCTCATCGGCTGGAAACCTGCCCACAATGCTTCCAAGAGCTCCAGAGCAGACCTACGTAGACAAATATCCAGAAGAAGATCAACCAGCTGGTCCAAGCTTTAGAGATGACAGACAACATCAGTCAGACTATGAGACCGAGGTTAAAATGTATAGGGCTTCAGAATTAGGGTTTGTTAAAAACTTTATTGTTCTCCACAGTTTTATGTACACACACAATCAGTATTGCCTGTGTGCAGGTAAAAGTCATGTTAGGAACAGAAAAACGTGTGACAAGTGCAAGAGTCCATTTAACAAGGAAGGCGAGTGCGATTTTATCATCATTTGTCCGGACAGTTTCATTGTTATCGAGGTGAAGAACATGGAGCATGTTGATAGAGAGATGATGGAATGTGAACCAGACTTCCACTTGTGTTCTATTGGCGAGGACTGGCAACCTGAGTGCACAACTAGAAAATTGGAGGCATTGATTGGTACGTACAGGAAGTCAGCTGAGCAAAGAAGCAAGGTAGTGGAACTGATCAGATTTATTGACAAGGACGCAACTATTCTTCAATTCACAGCGTACCCTAATTTTAGTAAACAGTTTGAAGAACAGTTTCAATTTAGTGAGTTGACAGAATTCCGGTTAAGTGATGATGAAATTTCGACTATCATATTTGAAGAGGACATTTCCAATTGCCGCATCAAATCAGATTTTTCAAAGGAAACCCTCGATAAACTCGGCGACAAGTTTAACGGAGCAGACTTATCCTGATCAAAACTATTTTTCTCGTATAGTAAGCTGCTTTTCTCGCTGCTGCAATAAAACCACTGATACAAATGACACGAGCAGTGAAGGAGAAGTAATTTCTGACTCAGACAATAATCCATCAAACAAGAAATTAGTTAAAACAGATGAGGACTTATCTACTTTTGCTGCTTGGTGGGCAGACAATGTAACTCAGGCCATATCATCTATAAGAAGAGTTTCTGAAGAAATAGTATCAAATACAGAAATACCAATATCTGGATACAATCAAGATTCTCATGAGAAAGCAAGGAACATTTTACTAGCCATATGGGCCACAGACAGAAACAAATGTGATCAATCAAAGTGCAGTTTAGGACGTTGTATTATGGATGTCAACGAACAACTTAAGGAGGGTCGCATTACTTTTGAGCCTAAAAAAGGTAAAAAACGTGGACAAAATCCCGGGGTTGTAAAAGCTCCTGATGTCATAAGCAAATACGTTGGGGTTCTCAATTTAACCACACAACAAAATAGTGTGTTTAATTCAAGTGAGAATATGTTGTGGATCAATGGACCCGCAGGGGCGGGAAAGACTGTCATATTATTATTGTGTGGCAAAATAATACACTTAATACAATCTGATAGTAACAATAAAGTAGTTGTATTTAAGTTTGCAGGAGAAGGGAACAATTCGCAGCATTATCAAGATGCATTGGATAAAGCTAGTATAGAATATGAACTGATAAGCACTAGTTTTGATAATCACACTCCCGCACAACTAGCTGATCTGATTACAGAGAGTTCGTGTAATGTTATTATTGTGGAGATAACAGATCCTCCAAGTACCACATATTTAATAGATAGACTTAGTTTATTGAATGGTTATCATTTGTTTGTTGATGATATACAGAGTACAGACAATAATTAAATATGATATCACATCTAAAATGTGGAGTGAACTGATTAACAAGTTATTAGAATTATCAGCAGATAAGAATGTGTGGATTGCATGTGATTATGTTCAGGCTTGGGCGTTCTATTCTACAAACACAGGTGCCATTTCAATCGTAGCTAATGTAAATACTGATATATTAAGCACCTCATCAGAGTACTACTTTATCTATGAACTTGAGAATACGTCTGATTTATCGAGTATTTTATCTGTAATTAGAGATGAATTCGTTAAATATGTTCCTTAAATCAGATATTTTAGATATAGTTTTACCTACACAATCACCAGGGACACTTCATACCCGGTACATTTACTGTCATGCATGTGTATTAAAGATTACAATGTACTAGTATTATGCGTGTATTTAATAATGAATTAGATAGATTGTGTGATGGATTAAATTACTCTGATATAGGTATAATTACTGATGTCACTAGTAGTGTAATGTCACTAGTTAAGAACAGTGTTAATATGAGATGTGTTAACACTGATAGTATTGCAGTGTGTCACAGTAGGTCTAGTTATTCTGCTCAGTGGCCAGCTGTAATAGTACTGCACAGAGTGTTGTACAGTGAGAAGAGGGACCTGACTCACCTTTACTTAGCGTTATCAAGAGCACGTGTTTACTGCTCTGTTTTTATATTCCCACGGGAGGGTTATACATTAGACGATACACCTCACATGTTACGTTTGTTACGTAAACTGAGTAGCTTTGCTCGTATTATACGGCATTCAATTTAATATTACTGTGTAATAACGTTGGTGGGTGACTAGTTCTATTTTTCTGAAACATGTATATACACAAGCCTTTATTAATGCTTGAACTAATTGACGATTTTTGAAATTTTGACGGGATTCGAACTCGCAACCTCCGGGCTGAGGGGCCAAGGCTAACCAATTGTACTAACCAATTGTGCCACTGAGGTGACATTTGTACAAATATATTAGGCTAGCAATTAAAACTTGCAAATAATTTCACCCACTTACTATTATTACTATTATTTAATTGAGTTTCCTTTCTGATTTATTGTTAAATATTACAGTGTTTTGTATCGAAATGTTTTATACAGTTATTACAGTAAATGTAATATGAATGGGCCAGAATAGACAAAGTGATTACATTCGTCATACGTGGTTTGGAAACAACAACAAATTACCCCAAATTACCAAATAATGAAGAATTTAAAAAAGTAAAAACGGGACTAGTTTGCTTAATGATATCAATTAGCATTTGAATTCACTCATAATAGCAGAAATAGTGTAAAGTCTAATTTGTAGACTAAGTGCCTAGTGACAGAATATAAAACTAAATATTGAGAATAACAAAACATTTGTCCAAAGAACGTAGCCATCCTCGAAAACCGATAAGATCAATTTATAATTGTGCACTTAAAATGACATAAATCGCAGCTCAACGTTGCGCATGACTGGTGGTCAAACTTTCAACGAAAGCAAACAGAACAGAACGCAACTGGATATATGTGCGCGTTCTTCCTAAAACTGCACGGTACGCGCGCATCGCATAACACGTGCTATCATTCCATATATGGATTATCAATTATGGTAGAAAGAAAACTCCATTTACGGACGTGAGGAGAGTTAGGACTCCGCAATAACTACATTAAATACATTCCTTCTGTAACTTGTAGCGCGATGCACTACTGGGTCGCGCCGCGCATCAAATAATTCTTCTCGCAACCACTTCGGTAGATCGGCGAAATGCACCACTGTGCCTCACCGAGCTGCGAAGGATTGACATCCTGAATCAATTCTGTAACGTCTTCAATAAATGTAATAGATGTGTATGGTGTAGTGTTGTAATTAGTTTATAATATATACTTATATACCGCAATCTAGGTAAACTATAGGTAAAAAGAAGAAACATTGTCAGTCAGTCGAGAAAATTGTCAGTCAGGCTATATGGCAGCTTTGTAGATGTTGTGACTATGCTAGTAGTGGTCCCAGGCTTGCGACTGGAATTGCGGTGTTAAAGCGAGAGGGTTACAGGGCCGGGCGGCGCTCAGCCTGTCATTCCGCCGAATCTCTATTCATGTTTCAGTTTATGAATGTAAGAACCTCGGCCCCCTATTCTTTTTGTCGCTCAGTTAATAACTGAGCACTGGGAGTTGACACTTACACTTCATACCTAGTTCATACCGTGATGGACCGGACGGGACACCTGCCTAGGAGCGAATGAAAACTCATTAAGAGTTGCAGTGATGAGGCTCCCATCAGACTGTGGAGCGCGCCAATCACCGTAGCAACCGTACGAATAGCAACCAATCACGGAGCCCCCGAACCGGTGTCCTGACGGCGAAATCTCATATTTCAGTGCACCGGGACAGGACGAGACAAACCGAGCTGATACGACCAATTAATTAGCGGACCTCTGAGTTTAAACGGTAAATTAACAGAACCTGGGAGACTATTCGAGATGACGACCTGGACTTCTCCCCACTTCTACTCAGTTCCATTATTCCAACTTCGAGTTGGTCACTCGGCCTCCGATCGTTCCGACACTGAACCTCTGGATCTCTTCACTTCTACTCTGTTCCTGCCCTGATCCCTAAGATGACGCCCTGATTCTGCCTCCGTGCGACTGAAGATGATCAGACTCATCTCCAGCCAGCGATCAGACTCATCTCCGGACTTGTTGAGGAAAGTCGACTCTTTAAGCTGCGGTGGCGATATGCAGATTAGAGAACCAGCTCTTCAACTGTCCACCCCTCCTACTCATCCTAAGGTCGGTTAGCTCGGTCGATACTATATTTTATTGTACTATACTATGATACTTGATACTACTTACCTTGATGACCAGATGTTCTGCTGGTCTTTTCATATACTGTCATTAATCGCTTACACGACAACTGCTAAAACTGCTATATTGCAAGTCTCTGAGACTATGATTGAAAGTTGAGTCGTTACAATTACTAAAAGTGTGCAGTGCCACAAGTAAATTTGAGTCCTTGACACAGAAAATCGTATTTAATCACAAGCTTAACTCGTACAGTTTCAGGAGGATACAAGTTCTTGGCGAATTAGAGTAACACCATACTGGTGGAGACTATCGATCCCGAAGACCCTCAAGCTAGTCATCATTAGAGCGCTCTAGCTACTAGTAGTTAGACCGCAAGTTATTAAGACTTGTAGTCAGTACTATATACCAGGCGTAGTTAGATCCTATACTGGTTCTTATAGGATGGAGCCCTATAAATTGCGTAGACCTAGTGACTAGTTAGTAGCTACTCCCACGGGAGGTTCCTACAAATTGGAGACTGAAACGAGACTCTGATTCTAAAAGAACTTTCCCACACAGTAACGAGTTGAGACAATCAAGGAAGACGAATCCTACAGACGGCTATCTCTCTGACGAACTCCGAGAAGGACAGAGAGAATACCTCAGAAGCAAGACAAAACAAACTCAAAAGATCTCTACTCCACATTACGGCGACAAAGTGGATAAGAAGAGGACAACTCCCAAGAAGAGGCATTGCAGGCCACCAAGGTAAGAGTTGTCGTTCCATAAAAGCGCTCAGTTTGCACTAGTAAAGAATTGTAAGCTAAATGTGCTACTTCTGGCGGAAAATTTTTGGCGAAATGTGATAGAACATAATGAAATATAACGGGCCATACATGGCGTTACTAAATCAGTAACTAAGAAATAGAGCTCTGAGGAGTAACTGTACTGTATAAGTTGTGTGTTACCGTGCTGGTCAGTAATTGCGTCAATATATTATCCACATCACAACTCATCGTTACAAGCATGTTAATTTAATATTTTAAGTTATGTAGGCAGTAGCATCGAGGCTAATTTTATAAGTTTATAAAATGTTCCACGCCC